TTTAGTGCTGACGTTTGCTCACTGCTGATTGGTTGGTTTCACAATCCATTGTTTTTTCTCGGATTTCATTGGCCGAAACAAACTGTCCTATTTTTTCCCAAATAGGACAGTTTCTGCATTTTTTACTCAAATTCCATATTGAAAACTGTCCAAATTAAATCCCAAATTGGACAGTTCTGAGAAATTAAAGGATAATAGCCGTGCTGACAATACTGGATTAACTGACTGCTATATAATTATATGAGATACATGAGTTTCACTGAGCGATTTGAAGACTATTTACTCGTGCTCGATCTCCTCGGTACTCGTTGTCCAATCTAAAGAACATACTAGCTATTCCTGGCCGATTGTGAAAGGAAACTTAGTTTCTGTTGATTCGTTACTTGTGTAGCTGAATATCCTTTATCATATACATGACTGCGAAATTGTAGCTTATATCAGTAGGGAGAAGGACAGTACTGGCTGACATTTGCTTTAGCCGTCTGTTCCCCTGCAAGCCGATTAACATCCTTGTTGCGGACTTAGCTTTTGCCCATACATTTTTTTTGTGAAGAACTAGACCAGTGTGCGTAGAACTAATACCGTAAAATTCCTAAAATAAACCCCGGGGCTTATATTTTTCAAAGGCCCTTTTTGAGGGGCTTATTTTTGGAGGGGCATATATTCGGAGGGGCTTATCTACGGAGGGAAATTTGCGTTTCAAAATCGATTGGGCTAGCCATATAGTTGGAAGTAAATTTACCGATTTTCCTTTGTTATACTTTGTATTTGAGGGCAATGTTCCAAGTACAAGCCCTCGGGGGGGGCTTATATTTGGAGGGGCGATTTAACGAAGGGTTTTTTGCGTTACCAGTTTGGGGGGCTTATATTTGGAGGGGCTTATACATGGAGGAATTTACATGGAGGAACTTATTTTCGGAATTTTACGGTACTTGTTAAATAGGAGAAATGACCTTTCTTTCGAGAAAACTGAGGACTATAATGCCTGATATTTCGTTTTAACTTCGAATATTAAAGTTTAGGTTTACAATCATTGCGTGCAACTCGATTGCATTTGACCCTTCATCAATTGCGTACTCGAAATTTTAATCAAACGGCACATCTATTTTACCAATGCGTTATTCCTTAATATCTACGCAAACGTCTAGTGCCTTCAACAAGTTTTGCCAGAACAAAGTCTACGAGTCCACAGCTTCCACGTTCGCAGGATTTAGATAAACTTTCGCCGCTAAGAAGGAGTGGAAATGATCAGCAGTACAAAGTTTATTGGCTCAGTTACGCTGTAGTGATCAGAATGATATGCTTGACTACAGGTCGAGCGCGGTTCTATTCTCGGTTTTCACTCACGTGAGAAAGCAGAAATAAAAATGGAAACCTTTTAATACAGAAATTCTAGAATCTGGGAAATGAAAGAAGATAAATATGCAAAAAGCCTTGCCAAGGATCAGGTCTATGCAACAGTTCATATGCGAGAAATTCGGAAAAACGTTTTACCCAAATTTATAAAGCTTTGTATGGAGACGCCATATTTGTTCCCTTTCAGGGGATGGCCGCCAGAAACCAACAGAAACATCTGTTTTTGAGTTTTCCTACTTATGCGTGAATTCTCCGCTTGAGGAACTCATAAAGATTAAAGCAATATTTATTCTAAGACAAGGAATGTTTAGATAGCAAAATCTCCAAAAATCCGTAATGTTTTTAACCCACATAAGAGCTTTCCCGGCCGCCAGCTAAATGCCGCGTCACACAAGTGTCCTTTATCGCAAAACAAAGAACCCTTTTGAACCGAAAATTTGCTTGTATAAAGGTTTTAAGGTGCTCTAATATCACATGAAGGTAGAAACTCAGAAGTTTCAAGTTTGGTGACGTCATGTGAAAACCAAACTGTAGTACTGCGGTGATCATATGCAAATTCCCTTCAAGTTGGCGGCAAATCTTTGAAAAGCTTTGAAGAATGAAATTTCTTAGGGTAGAAATTTCTTACGATTGTGCTGTCACTGAAAGATATCGAACTTGGCCTAAAAGGTCCTATGGAAAGCTTTCCTTTCATTAAGTTGCAATCGGTAGCTGGTTGGGAAATAAATAGAGGGGGGGCAAGGGGGGGTCTCATCACGAGTTCACGAACAACAATTCTGCGTTTCACGAGTCACGAAACAAATATTTACGTTGTCACGCTTTTCAAAAAAGAGGTCGTACAAAAGTTTAAAACGTTACGCTGGTCTCATTTTTCTGTAAAGCAGAGTGCCCTTATTATATTTTAGGAATTAAGTTAACTAGAGTTTCTAATACGAACCTTATGAAAAACACTGCGCAGCTATAAACTCCCTAGGGAAGCCAGCTGTAGGTGGGTCTGAGCGCACTGAATTGTGAAGTTACAAAAGACTCGAAACTGAAGTTAAGTCAAGCCACCAGATGCTAGTTAAGGTCATTTCGCCAAATTAACGTTTTATTTTCACCGATTGATCTTCAATGTACGTGTAAACAATAGCGGATTTTGGCAGTTCAAGTTTCACGGAGAGCCGACTTCAATCACGATTCACAGAATCGACACAGAACACTTTTTCAGTACATCACGATTCACGGACACCATAAATGGCCGATCGCAGCGTCAAGCTTGCCCCGCCCCGCCTCTAAATATGTTTGTTTGAGTCAAAAGGCCGTATAGTTTTAAGTACGAAACCAATCTTTCCGCGGTTTGGGCAAAATGACACTGATTTATTTGGCACCAGATTGTAAGTGTGTTATGGTTAAGTAAACACTCTGCTTAGCTATGACTGCAAGACCGGTTTCGGAACCAAAATGCTGGATCCTTCGTCAGTTGCTAGTATAGCTGTTAACAAGAGCTCACCATAGAGCCAGTGCCGTAA